AACGCCTTTAATGTTTCTTCGAAATCCATAAACAATCCATGGTGTGTAGCAATAGCCTCCCACAACACACTTCTACGTTCGTCGGTAGAAAGGTGTAACCTATTGAGATGATATATCAAACAAGAAATCCCTTAGCTCCCACTTGACAATTCGGGAAATAATTAAACCCCAAAATGGGCACATCCAAGCTCCATTCGAAGATGTAGAAGATAAATCCATAAAAAAAATTGCATTAAGCCTCGAGTTGCAACTCTAAATCATGCATAGACCCTAACAAGTGACACTCCAACAAACACTTGGTGTGCACAAAATGTAAAAAGAATTGGGTAGAAGCTCTCATTTTCTTGAAACCAAAGGAAATGTGTTTGCGATAAATATTAGCCATTTTATACCAATATACGAAAGATACCCAAGAAATGAAATATACATAAGATCCCTAATAAACTATCTATCATGGTAAATCCTTTGTTTATAAGATTCCAAATAAATAGTATCCATATCATATTGAAATGCCAAAGAAGTTGCATATGTTGTAGTTGGTATAATCAAATTATAACCCGACACCAAGCGCTCCAACCACATACAAAATAATTCCTTGTAATCTCATAATGATCCCGATTGTTGAGGCATCTCAGTAACCAGACAAAATGTATAACTACATGTCATGTCGGTAATCCTACATTCGTCCAATAGTCAATGGCATTTAGAAATTTTGCAACTTCAGCTTCAAATTTCCAAGTTCCCTTGAATTTCAAGCCATCCAAAACTATCTCTTGAAAGAAGACTGTCTCATGGTGTCGAGCTACAACCCGCCTTTCTTATTTTGACATTTATATGAAATAGTATATGCTCAACAAACAAAAATACAAAATATAGTAAATATATAATCATAAAATATGTGTAAGTGTGTAATAAGTAACTCGTCCGATCAACGTCCCACTATGCTTTTCCTTGATCATGCCAGCTATTATTTCTAGAAGCACAATTGGTCTAATCCATGTCCCCCATGAGATGAGAAAAGCAGATGACATAATCGTCCACCGTGCACCGATTGCGCACCTTTCCCGTAAAAAACATACGCATATGATAAACGTTTTCTTAGAATAACAGGATTTTTGCATGTCATAGTATGAGAAAACCTAAGATTTTCGCAAGTCGTGGCATGGGAAAACATAATTTTTTGTAGTTCATTACCTAAGAAAACCTAGGTTTTCACAGGCCATGGTCTGACAAACCCTAGATTTTCATAGGGAATCAATCTCCTATGAAAATCTAGGTTTCCTCAGATATTCACCTGCGAAAATCTCAAAGTAATAAACATTAAAAACATAGTTAAGACTAAATAACTCATTAATTAAGGTAGATCGTTGTCTCCTCCGACCATCTTTTTTATAGAGAATTCCAAGCGGTTTTTGAAAATATGGTGTGTTATTTTTTTTTTGCATTTGCTAAACTTAAAATCTAGGTAATTCATTAAACCGAAAGAAAACCTTTGTGATAACCACCTCACATAAATATTGTGGATGGTAGAGCATAAAATACACATTTTGACCCATTCTTGTTTCCCATTCATATATTTTTGTGATAACCCGCCCTCTTGCCAAATAATATATTTTTAAAACCCAGTTCGTTTTTCTTGATTTCTAGTTTGTCTGTTTTTTTTTCGATTTCATCTTCTTTTTGTAAACTACATACCTTCATGCTCAAATACTGAAAGTGTTTTTTTTTAAGTTCTTCTTCTTTGGCCTTTACATCCTTCTTTAACTCTTTATGCATCTTCCAAGGTCTGAATACATCATTAGAGCTGAAATGTGATTGATGGGATGAACAATTTTCAACAAGAAAAATAATTTATTTTGCATAAAAAATCATATATTATAAGGTATGTGATGTGTATTTTTAATGCACTAGTTTTAAATTTGCAAAATCCTTATTTATCGCAGCTAAACTAATACACATTACATGAAGTGAACCTGATCGAGTATAGTATAGTTTTTATAAGTAAGGGTGTCGAACTATTGGGGAACGAGCATGATTTAATTTAGACGATAAATCAATTAATTAAACTAAAAACAGAAAAGTAAAGGGGGGGGTGTTTAAATTAGATTAAACGAGATTAACTACTAAATAAACGCAAACAAAAGCAAAGAACGTGATTGAAAACACTGATTTTAAAGTGCTTCCACTTAGATTCCGAATCCCCCTATTTTCCTATGGCTGATTTATTAGAGTGCCATGGATTTAACAAGTTCATTACCGAGTATTATAACGACCAGTTATCTTGATTCAATGAACTAATAGAAATAATTATAAAGCTATTAACACAATGATCATGCAATTAGCTAACTAAATAATCAATTAAATATTCAAATTATAAAGGAATTGATCTAGCGACTTCTTATCAATGATCATGACAATTAATCTAGCATAACATGGATATCTAATACCTTCTTATATATCAAGCTATCAATTATATTATTTGACTTGTCATGTTTACACAAGCCAGTCACGGGAGTGTTAAAAAGAATACAGGAGGGATCGTTGAGAGGATTCACAATATGGCCCGGTAGCCCCGCGGCAGAGATAGCCCTAGACAACCGACAACTAGGCAGAGGGAGAGATTCAACCAGATCAATCTCCCTGAACTGAAGATCTCCTTCAAAATTCTTTCCTAAAACTTCCACAAAGCTCATAACATGCTCAACCCCTGCAAGTCCCATAGCAAACAATAAGGGTTTTGACCCCTCTATAGTTGTTGTATTTATATGAAAAGGGGGAGGAGGAAATAATAAGACAAAGAACATAAGTTACACAGGAAGGAAGGAAAACTAACCACCATTGACAACATATAACTCAAACATTATTTCTTGACAACGCCACTCGGTGCTCATTCCTACTCCGACTAAGACATATTCAGGGAAATCGTCAGGAACAACTTGGAAGCCGTTAAGCAGACGAACAACTTCTTGATTACGAGGTGATAACTTAGGAGCACCATCAGAAGTGGATTATGTACAAAAGTAAGGCCCTCCAACATGAGATCCATCAACCCAAAACTAATGATTTTGCCAGTTTTTAAGGCTAGGTCTCCCCTCCGGAACAAGAACATAGTTGTTCTTACGAGAGTAAAAGGTGTACTTATCGTTGGTAGTCGAAAAACAAAAGTAATTATTGAAAACCCAGAAATTTGATTCCAACCCTTGAGATCGATAAAGGATCTCAAAGGCCACAACCTTGGTAACAACATTGGGGATCAACTCGTAGATGTTGATGCCATCTTTCTGAAGAAGGTCAGTCATGAAATTGGTCGTCGGAAGATGATAACCAGCATCTAAAATCTTGACGTACACACCCACCTTGCCCGACGGAGGATTAGAGAACAACGCCCCTTCAAGCGGAATGATAACTCCATATTCAGGCTAGAATTCATACCTCTCTCTTAGGGAATCGACATATTCTGGGGTTGGAATGATGACGTAAGAAGAAACGATGGTGATTGGGAGCGTAGTTGTGAATAAAGAACAAGAAGACAAGATGGAAGAAGCGAATGAAAGACGTGAAAATAACCTAGCAAGCATCAGTATATAAGGGAAGGATATAAGCGGTAAGCTTTGTCACGTGAAAATAACCTAGCAAGCATCAAATGAACCCAAGGCAGACACATGCCGCTAGAGTCTAGAACATCATGGCTAGACTACATCAACTCCATGATTACTAGACTAGGGGGCTTAATGATGTATCCCTCAGATACGTCGCGACGGACCAGAACAGACAACGCAGGCTAAGCTTTGTCATGTGTCGATTTGACTGATCATCGAGGCAGCACACTCTTGTGGGCCTACGCTTCACTGGCACGTGAGTGGAGCATGTTGAAAGAATTACTCGATATGTAGAACACAGACGTCAGCAAAAGAAGCGATTATGTCCCACTAACGGAGATTGCGTCCTTACCAATCAAAGCCACGGAAGATCTCTCATGTACCACGTGGACCAATGGGAGTGCGGGGTATGTTGAGTTTGACTACAGGTCTTGAAGGATTTCTCAGAATCAGAGGACTTCAGAGATTATAAAATGTCATTTAAGCTGGAGGAGGAGACAACCTCTCCCTTATTTCAGTCATGGAGTGCACCTTCGACTTGATGGTCAATTTGGGTTGGGTAATAGCCTTATATCAAATGATATTTTAGACAATGTTATTTAATCACAAAGCAAAAATATAGTTACACATTTGCGCACAGACAGTTACGAGAATGTCAATGTCTAAAGTTTCAGCACATGGTTAGTGGACGGTCGTGAAGGTCTTGCGGACCTGCATGGACCATTCATGATAGCTTCATCGTTCACATTGGTGTCAATCCTCTTTACACTACTGCAATTTCATTAAAGGAAATGGTATTATATGCTTATCAAATCCAAGTAACTAAACAAATAACTTAAAACGCTAAAACCACTTTGCAGAGTGATCAAGTAGCAATTACGACTATTGTAACAAAAAATGAAGGTATATTGATTACCTATTTGCATAGTGTTTTTTTCAATCCATTATCCACGGACGCAAACAATATGACGACCTTCGCTTATTTTTCGCAGCAAAAGATCGGAAAACTAACAAAAATAAACTTTTGAAAAGTAGAGACATGCAAGCAAGACTTTTGTCTTGCCTTCACGGTTTGCAAGTTCTTTTTCGTGGGCCTCGTGGTCATTTTGTCAAGTGTCAAAAAATAATGGCTACCCCAAAATATATTCTTGAAATATATGGTCATTTTTGTAAATATATGGTCATTTTTGTAAACAGTTCTTAAATATAGTCGCATTGGTATCGTTAGTAATATCATTATATAAGTAAATAATTATTTACGATTTTAATTTGTAATAGATCATCAATGTTGGTGTGGAGAGGGGAGTACTTAATTACTTGCTTTATTTGAGTTAAGGAAGTGGTAATGTGGCATTTCTACCAAAAAGAAAAACTCAACATAAACACTTTCTTTCTTTCCTAATTCATTGCAAATCACTTGGTATATTTCCCAAATTAGAAAGAATATAATATAAGCACACATACATAACATGGTTCATCACAAAAGAGTATTAACCCTAACATTAAAAAAATGCAACAATCCATTATTCCACAAAACAAGAGTGTCGCCATTTACCATTTTGAATAGTTAATACTCTTCATCCTCTCCTTCATCATCGACTCCTTCAGCACCAACTTCTTCATAATCTTTCTCAAGAGCTGCAAGATCTTCACGTGCTTCTGAAAACTCTCCTTCTTCCATCCCTTCACCAACATACCAATGAACAAATGCTCTCTTTGCATACATCAAGTCAAACTTATGGTCAATGCGTGAAAACACCTCAGCAACTGCTGTGTTGTTGCTGATCATGCAAACCGCTCGTTGGACCTTTGCTAGATCACCACCTGGCACAACTGATGGCGGCTGGTAATTAATACCACATTTGAAACCAGTTGGACACCTGTCAAAGTCAAACAAATATTAACAATATTAAATTTCAAATCATTTAAAGCAAAATTAATGGAATGGATTGTTGTTTTGTTATGTATAAGTAGAAACTAGATAAAAATTTAGATTGATATATGAAGAAAAATGAACTTTTGTGATATATAAAGGTATATCGTTGTAAATTGCATATTTCATTTAAAGAATTATATAGCATCTAAAAATTGTTTTTTTACAAATTTAAATAATTAAATACCATGAAATTGTAATTAAAAAAGTTACTTTTGGAAACTTAAAAAAAAAAAAAACTTAAGTTTTAAAATTTTTAAACATCGACTTTATTTTTTCTTAAAAAAGTCCTTCCATTTTTCCATTTTTTCCAATTTGGTTCTCTCACTAGGTTTACTGGTAATCTTCCGGTTTTAGACAAAATTTTCGGAAAAAAACTCTTCAACTTTTTTTTTTTCCGAAAAAAACCCTTTCTTTTTTTATCCAAAAAATTAGTCAAATGTGAGGTTTTTTCGAAAAATAAAATAAAAAATGAAGGTTTCTTTTTCAGAAAAAAAAAGTGAGGGTTTTTCCAGAAAAAAAATTGTTTAAAACCGGAAGATTACCAAAAACCTGCTAAATGTGCAAAATATAAAAAATGAAAAAATGCAAGGTCTTTTTTAAGAAAGAAAAAACAAAGTTGAGGTTTAATCCGTAAAAAAACCCAAAATACAAGTTCTTTTACGATATCAACCCCAAACAAAAACAAAAGTTAGTTTTAATTTCATAAATCAATAAACCAATCTAGATATATCATCATCATATAATAATAAGGGAAATCTACAGAAAAATCCCAAACTTTTGAAAAAAGTTTCAATAAAATCCTAAAAGTTTTTTTTTTAACAGAAAAGTCCCGATTATTTAACATTTTGCCCAAATTAACGAAAAAGTCTTGTTTTATATTTGAACAGCAAATGACAAATTATATGATTTTCTCAAAGTAATGGGACTTTTCTGTTCAAAAAAAAAAATTAGGACTTTTTTGAAACTTTTCCCAAAAGTTTGAGACTTTTCTGTATATTTCCCTAATAATGATAATAATAAAATTAATTTCTTACCAATCAACAAATTGCACAGTGCGTTTTGTTTTGATTGTTGCCACAGCAGCATTAACATCTTTAGGAACAACATCTCCCCGATACATCAAACAACACGCCATATACTTCCCATGTCTCGGATCACACTTGGCCATCATACTCGCAGGCTCAAACACCGCATTTGTAATCTCAGGCACCGAAAGCTGCTCATGATACGCTTTCTCAACCGAAATCACAGGGGCATAACTGGAAAGCATGAAATGAATCCGAGGGTATGGGACAAGGTTTGTTTGAAACTCAGTAATATCAACATTAATTGCTCCATCAAATCGAAGAGAAGTTGTTAAAGATGATATGATTTGAGAAATTAATCGGTTTAAATTCGTGTATGTTGGCCTCTCGATGTCTAGTGATCTCCTGCATATGTCGTAGATTGCTTCGTTGTCTAATAGAACTGCGACATCTGTGTGTTCGAGTAGTGCGTGTGTTGAAAGGACACTGTTGTAGGGTTCTACTACTGCTGTTGAGACCTGAAAGTTGATGATAACAACAACTTGTTGTCATAAATATTATGTTTAACTAACTCAAAAAAAAAAAAACATCACGTTGAAGATGCTTTGATAATAAGGTACCTGAGGAGAAGGATAAATTGTGAACCCAAGCTTTGACTTTTTTCCATAGTCAACAGACAAACGTTCCAACAATAAAGACCCGAGTCCAGAACCAGTTCCACCACCAACAGCATTGAATGCTAAAAATCCTTGTAAACCAGTGCAGTTGTCTGCTAACTTTCTTACTCGATCAAGGCATAGATCAACAATCTCCTTTCCCACTGAAAAAAGAGTTGTGTTTTTATCATTGTATTTGTATATGATTGGATAAATATAAGATAGAATTTGGATGAATCGTAAGTACCTGTGTAATGGCCTCTTGCAAAGTTATTAGCAGCATCTTCTTTTCCAGAAATAAGTTGTTCAGGGTGGAAGAGTTGGCGATAAGTTCCTGTTCTAACTTCATCAATCACAGTTGGCTCAAGATCAACGAATATTGCTCTTGGAACATGCTTTCCTGCTCCAGTTTCACTAAAGAACGTGTTGAATGCATCATCTGCAACTCCAGGTGTGGTGTCGCTGAAAAAAGAAAGAACGAGTTTGATTTATTAGCTGCATTGTGCATTGTAAAGATCTATTCGGAATCTGAGTAAATCAAGAGATAGATCCATCGAATTTTAGCTTATGAACTTGAGATCCAAGTTTGGATCACTTCAAACGCATTTAATCGGAGAATTTTCTATTTCTAATGACATAAGAAGTAAGATCCCTAAATGTATGACCTAACGAACAGTTTACCATAAATTCAGATCCATCGAGAATCAGAAATTGAAATCATAGAACTAAAACAGAGTACGAATCATGAACATTAGCAAAGTAGGAAAGAAGAAAAGGTAAACAGGAAAGAGATTCGATAGAAACATCAAGTAAAGCAGTAGATGTGTTAAATGAAGCTACAAAAACAGCAGAATTCAACGAACACTGAAAGTAGATGTATTCAACCAAATACATTTACTGAAAATTAATGAAAGGGAATCGAAGAACGAAAAAGGAAGAACAAACCTAGGCATCAAACCATCGGGCTGAATGCCATGTTCGAGGCAATAAAGCTCCCAACATGAATTTCCAACCTGAATCCCAGCTTGACCTATGTGTATACTTATGATCTCTCTCATATCTCTCTGTGAGTGTGTGTGAATCAGTTGGAAGAAAAGTTGAGGTTTTATGCTCTGATTTCGATCTAAGAAGAGACTGTAAAAAGAGGGAAATGTAGTCGATAAGATTCGACAGACAGCAAGTGTGGCTCCACCCACTCCCGCCAGCCTTTCACCCGTCCCCAGCCGGCTACGCAAATTTACCGTTTTGCCCCTCCAACTTCCAAAATAAATATTCTCTCTTGCCCTAAATTTCTAAAACTTATATTCGAATTTTTTCACCTAGCCCACTTATCCATATGAATTGGTTGGCCCATCAAATTTTTATATTGAATTATTGATATCATTTAAAGCGAATGCATTATAAAAATCCTTAAAATAATAAAAGAAATAATATTTTACCTTCAAGATATGGTTATGTATTATCTGATTGACATAACTTACTAAAAAATCTGACATTTAGTAAAAGACAATGCGACCAAAATATACGATATCCATTTCGAAAATAACATAATTATTTTGATAAATGCAACTTTTGGTTTGGTATATGACTTAATAGAAGTTTTTAATTGATACTTAAAATGGTGTTTGGGACTGATTATTTAAACAACTTATATTTTTTTTAGTAAAAATGTTTATTATTTTATCAAGTGTCAAAACAAAGCTTAGAAAAACGTTTGATTTAGTTTATTCAGTAGCAAAACATAATAAAGTGATAAGTTAATTTTTTTAGTATTTGGCAAATTGTGATTATATATAGAATTAGAAGATAACTTATAAAAAAACTCTTTAAATAAGTCAATAAGTAAGAAAGTAAACTCATTATTTAAGTCAGTAAATACTTATGAAATATTCATATCCAAACTATTAAAACTTTTTATTATCAGCATCAAAGCGCAATGAGTCAATAAGCATTTCAAATAAACAATCTCAAACACCCTTTAAAATATTCTTAGTATAATAAGCTATTTAAAAACAATCTCAAACACCCTTTAAAATATTCTTGCACCAGAGGCGGTGGAGCTCCTCAACAAAGTCCAACGGATCATGGACTCTAATGTCATATCTCTTAGATCCACAGATGTTGTTTTCAAAAGGATTAGTTTTGCGATCCAGAAAGGGCTAGCGGCGCAGCTTGTTGCCTGTTTGTCTTCCATCAATATGTATTGAACTATATTATGTTTTTTGAATATATTTGCGATTAGTTATAAATTTAAATTAAAAAAAATACATGAGCATATCACAATTAAAGTTTATTAATAAGTTGTACGGTTGCAAATATATGGATTCGGATTAAGTAGTGAGGAAGAAAATTGTTTAATTGTTTTACAACTTAGAAAAAAGTAAATAATTTGTTTTATTAAACGGAGAAAACTGTCTTAATTTAAGTTGTTTTACAAAGGATGTTTAAATACGATGAAATAAAATGATTATTGATGGTAGATATTTTTTAGGGATATTTATAAAAATGACCATATGTGATTATGGATAAGTAGAGTAAATAACTTTTTTATATACACCGAAACAAATACTATATCTTTGAAAAATTAGATTTCAAACTAAATCAATTTTGTTTCAGAATGTCATATGGTTACGAAGATGTAACATAAGTATTTCTAAAAGTTAATCAGTTGAAATGTAACATAGATATTTCTAAAAGTTAACATTTTAATCATTAAATATGATCCGTATATTTCAGACTACATTTATTTTCATTTATCTGAACGTCGATTATCATAGCCATCAATCAGAATTTTCTAACCACATATTGCAAACAAACTACAATTAGAATTTGTAGAGGGTGTTCTACTATTATATACGAGTTAGGATTTTAACAATTTATCTCAAGCACTTTAGATATATACTTATTTTGTTCAAAATGGAGTTCATTTAACTAGTTTTTTTAGTCTCTTTTTGCACAAACGGGTCGTGTGAATGAATTAGTAATGTCATGTAGAGTATCACATTAGATTATAGTACGATGTGAAATTGACTTCTCATATCAATTTTTATATGTTGGTTAACTTGGTGGCTTCCAAGTTAAGATTTGTCTTTTGTTTATCTTTACAAGGTCCAAGAACAAAGGTTTGTTTTATGTAGAAAATTGATGATGCTAATGTCAAATATTATGTAAGTGTTGCTAGCTATATTGTTATATTGTTTGTTATTAATCATATTGTCAATAATAAGATTAACCTAGTAGCAAACATATTGATATTTTATTTTAACCATAAATCAATTGGCTAGTAATAATCTGCTGAAGAAAAGTGGTCTAATACAAAATGGTATGGTGCTCTAAGCAATAAAATGTGTGAGTTGTTCCTTATTATGGGGACTATGGACGTAGAGTACAAAACATGAGAAAAGAAGATGGAAATTATGCATTTCTGTATGGAAAAGTACACATATTGCTTACAATGAACATGTATATAAGAGTGATGAATCAAGAAATGATCATCAAATTTTGTTGATGTTGACTCATAATTCAGACCTACATCCACAAGTTAATGGGTATGAGTCATCTCATCACACCAAATTTATATCATATAATAAACCAAATTTATATCATATAATATGTCATATCATTCTTCACATCACATTATTTTTTTAGGAAATAAATTCCACACCACTTTATAGGTAAACAATAATTTTTTTGTTTTTTTAGAAATATAAGAACTCACATCAACAAAAAAAAGGATGACAGACCATTGTTTTTTTTTTTTTTTTTGCCGTTGAGAGGCAACAAGGAACAACGTTGCATGAGTGCCAAATCAGCCTCCCAACGACATTAATGTACCGTCCTAGCTCTCATAAGGTATGTCTGGACCTCGATAAGAATAAAATTGATAAAAATTTGGTGTGGATTTATTATTCTAATAATGGTTTACTTATAACTTTTTTCTAGAGAATGCCTCCTACAATACCATTAAACTATATACAAATCTACCCCATCCGCCTTCCTAATCTCATAGCAATTAGCACAGGTGTAACGTTCGAAATTTTCAAACAAATTTTTAATTTTTAAAACCACATAAAACCCAATATCACATTTCTCAAAAACGCAAATGTACAAATTATTCAAAGCAAAAGACCACAAAATGTTTGATAATATCCCAGAATCCTCAAAAACATAATCTCAAGCTGGTGTGTACAATCAAGCATGCGCCTTCCCGCGATCCTGAGAGGTACTTGAAACACATATCACACAACACTGTAAGCACGAAGCTTAGTGAGTTCCCCAAAATACCATGCACAAATAATTAGCCTCTCATGGCTAAATCTCAATAAGGACCCTCCGGTCATGTGTCTCGGTGAGGACCCTCCGGTCTCACAACTCGGGTCGGACCCTCCAGTACGGTATCTCAGTAAAGACCCTCCGGTCTCACAACTCGGTTTGGACCCTCCGGTCCTAGCTCAATAAGGCACATAAATAATATACAGCATAAATCACAAAGACAAAATGCATGATATCACATAACTCAGTATAAGCACATAAGACCCTCCGGTCAATAACTCAAATAAGACCCTCCGGTCAATAACTCAAATAAGACCCTCCGGTCAATAACTCATATAAGACCCTCCGGTCACACAGTATTACCACTCAGGTAAGTATAGTGAGAAGACTCACCTCGTAAGCAAAGCAAGTATGTCTCGTACTCAACGATCGGTCTCGACTCCGCCTACATATGTCATAATCACTTCTAATTAACACTTATAATAACAACTCTAAAGATGTTAAGCTAACCCCTTCACTAACTCTTAGAAAGGGTGAAAAGACCATTTTACCCCTTCATGGCCTCCATATCCATAACTTGACCAAACCCTAAAAGTCAACGGAAGTCAACACTCGAGTCAACAGTCCTTGTTGACCCAAATCGTCAAGTGCATCTATGTGACTCGTCAAGTTCTTCTTATTCTCAAAAAATCGGGAAAACTTCAACTCAACTCGCCGCGTTGTCTCATCAACTCGTCGAGTTTGCGCGTGTCCAGACTATTGGGGAAAACCCTAACCGACTCGTCGAGTTGGCTCATGCACTCGTCGAGTCCCTTTAGTCCATTTTCTCATTCAGACGTTTTTAAGCAGAACTAAGGCCCCATACTCTAGATCTAGCCTTCCAAGGCTGAAGTATCACGTAAAGCTACAAGCTTTACGTTCATGCATGCCATCTAGGGCTCACTGTCGTCTCATCAGCTACACACTTCCTTAGTTGGGACACATGGAAGGTGTTATGAATCTGACGCCACTCTGCAGGCAGCTATAACCGATAAGCTACCTTACCCACTCGAGCGATCACTCTGAAGTGACTGATGTATCTAGGGCCCAACTTGCCCCGTTTCCTGAATCGGATCACCCCTTTCCATGGGGATACCTTCAGGAGGAAATAATCTCCGACCTGGAACTCTAGCTCTAAACGTCGCCGGTCTGCGTAACTCTTCTGACGACTCTGGGTCATCAGTAACCTCTGTCTGACCTGCTGGATCTGCTCTGACATCTTCAGCACTATCTCAGTGCTCCCCATCACTCTCTGCCCTACCTTTCCCCAACAGATGGGAGTCTGACACCTCCTCCCGTATAAAAGCTCAAAGGGAGGCATACCGATACTGGAGTGATGGATGTTGTTGTATGAAAACTCAGCCAAGGGCAGGTAAGTGTCCCAACTTCCACTGAAGTCCATAACACATGCGCGTAGCATGTCCTCGAGCATCTGAATCGTCCGCTCGCTTTGCCCGTCTTTCTGTGGGTGGTAAGCGGTGCTGAAATGCAACCAGGTACCCAACTCCTCGTAAAATTTCTTCCAGAACCTGGAAGTAAAAGGCACATCCCGATCTGACACTATCGATGTTGGCACCCCATGTCGTGCCACCACCTCTCGAACGTAGATATCGGCCAATTTTTCCGCATAAGAGCTCTCACTTATAGCCAGAAAGTGAGCACTCTTCGTCAACCGGTCTACAATCACCCATATCACATCAATACCTCGTACAGTCCTCGATAACTTGGTAATAAAATCCATGGAAATCTGCTCCCACTTCCATAGAGAAACCTCCAAAGGCTGCAACTTGCCATGAGGACGTTGGTGCTCTGCCTTGACCTGGCGATAGGTCAAGCATCTCTCGACTACCCATGCCACAT